GAGAGTTACTGAGACACCTGGGGGGAAGCATTTGGTACAAATGTGGACCAGATCCTTGAACTATTCTGTTAGCAGGTCCAGGGGTGCAGAAGAAAATTCCGGGGGGCCCCTTCCTCTCTTGGTCCCTGTCTCTAGGGCATCAGTTGTCACTGATCGATCGCTGCGTTCCATCAAATCAATTTAACACTTTTGAGGCGCAGCAGCGATCAGCTGATTTTACTCAGGGAGCCTCCGGCTGCAGCTGCAGCTGCTTCAGGTGTAGTTGGTTTGATCGGCTGGACGTGCAGCCTCTCTTTTCCTCTGTTTGCTTAGACTCTTTAGTGTCATTTAGTGACCTGTTTAAACAGACTCCTTAATCGTTTTATACTTGTGACTCATTTCTGGAGGAGGTTTGCGTCTCACCAATAAAGGAAAAAGCACTCACGGAGATCTTTTCAGGTTTTTAGTTTATTGATCAAAAGTTAACACAATAATTCTCTGTTGTTTACTTTCAACACACGTAACAAAACATTACCTTAAATTTGTTTTCCACAACTTATTTGGTCACTAAACTATTTCACTCCTCCTCTCTCATTCAAATATAAAAACTCCCAAGCTGTAGTCTTTCCCCGTACATTACTACCCATTAGGAAGACCTTATTACGATGATGAGGATCTGATACAATTTCCCATAATTTTATGTAACAGTTATTTGAAACAAGAAAAAAATAAAATAGATAACCTTGATTGTCCATAACAACATAAAAATAATAATAGGCTACCAATCAACTGCTCAACAGGTGGCATTTTTTTGCAAGGGATCAAATGAAGTACTCTATTGGTATCAGTATCACCTTAAGGCTGGTTTTGCTACTGGATCGTAAAATTTTAAACAATACACAACCCTAGGGATGATACACAAGAACAGGATGAGAAGATTTTTAACGCTATTTTGAAGAAACATGAAATGCTGAAATATATGAGCAGGGGTCTACGGGTCCTCCCTCAGAAATTTTGAGCATTAAACACTTAATTTCCTGCATTCAGGAGACATTTTCTGCTACACTTTACAGTGGAAATGTCTTTATTTATCTAAAGAAATGCAGCTGGCAGGTAAAAATTCATCAATATAAAAATATAATTTTTAGCTTAAGTTACTGACAATGTATATTTGTTTCTTCTATTTTTAACTCCTTGACGCTGATTGTCGCGAATTTGCATCACACCTCTTCCTTTCAGACTGCAAGACAAGATAGCGCATGGATTCCCCCAATGCCTGTTGGTGCATATTCGATACGTACCTAGGAACCTTTTGCATGCACTGGTTTCTTGTTTATGTCTGTTGTCGCTAATTTGCATCATACCTGAACTTTTCTATGTTCTATAGACAAATTAACATGCTTCACTTAATTTAACAACAGCTTGAAAGCAAATAAAAACACAAATAATTTTTTTTATTTTTTATAAAAAATTCAGACGTCAAGGGGTTAAAATGTATTGAAAGTTTTCTTATTGTGCAAATAAACCTTTCTCAAAGCCTTTTCATTTGTTAGTTAACATTCCTCGGTGTAATCTATTTTTCAGAACATTTTTAACAAATGTTTTTTAAAAGTGATGGGCATGTAATCAGTCATTTCAAAATGTGGTGGGAACATGTTACCAGTGTAAATGACACATATGAGTAAAAATAATCTGTGATTTGTGATGTCTGCACAGAGAAATCTTCATGTGTATTTAAGCATTCATTCATTCATTGTTTAAAGGCATGTAGGCCTAAAAGCAAAATAATTAAAACTTTAGAAAGTTTAATTTATGATTCTGATATTAATTTATGCTCTAACCTAAGTTCAGTCAGGACGCTCATCAATGTTTGAACTGTTTGTTGCAACTAGTGTCAGTGACCCCAAACCTTCCAGGAGTTAAAGGAGTTTTCAACAGGATTCAATAAGCGAGTCTTTGTTTTATGTCCTATTAAAGTGTCGACTGTCTGTTGCTGTGAGCCTCGTTTCTGATATTTATCTGGTCATTAATAGATAATTAAATGTGTATAAAAACATATAAACTTATAATACAGAAGGCCTCACTGATGTAAAACACAGAGTCCATTTCCTCTCATCTTGGCAGAGTCTTGTCCTGACAGCCTGGGACAGGTTAGTTATGATCCGAGCTTTGTGGGGGTCTCTGATATCACTAATCATATTAAAGTGTTATTATTTTACACACTGCTAGCCGCCAGCTCACAGTAGCAAGCAGTTTATCATGTGTAGTGTTCTTCTAATTGGATGCATCATAAATAAACAAATACATAAAAAACAGCATAACAAACAAGCAGCAGTTTAACACAGTAGGTATCACCCTGCATTACAGTTAGGTGGCTGCCTGGTGGAGAAGTGCAGCCATCCTGTGGTCATGTGGTGCGCAGCATATTAATTTTAGCCTGTTTATCTCGTTAATGTAAATGATACTAAATAACTACAAAATACTTTATTTGTGATTCAAAATAATGTTTGTTGGTAAATGAATTAGTGAACCCCGTAGGTGCATTATTTTACTGCCATGGGAGTTCAGATGCCTCCTTCTTGGAGCTGAGCTACATTAGAGACGTAACTCGAACCCTGGATTAGACGGGTCCCTGTTAAGATGTGGGCACAACAGTCTCTGATTTCCGTTGCTTGTCCTACATGAGTCCCATTTTGTCCAGACAGGACCTTCAGGAGCAGCTTTAAGTCCAAGCTGGGTCTACATGGCTGTCCTGGCCCTTTTTCTTTCCTCTGGGTGATCACTGCACCCGCAGTGGTGCCTGGTCTGGCTGATCTGCCTGGTGATCGTCTAAGATCTGCTGCTCTTAAATCCAAAAGCCAGCTTCCTTTTCCAATAACTGTATTTCTGTCATAGGTAACGCATGTTTCAACAATAAAGCCGGAACAAAACAAGGAACAGTTTGAAAGTTTGACAGCAACAATATGATTGGCTCACTGAGGATCTAACTGGTTTAAATTAAATGCTCAATGTCCTCAATCAGCTGACTGAGTTCTAAGCAGAATAAAGGAAGAGAGGGGGCGGGAGAGAAATAGAGTCAGCATGAATGATGTCTTCCTGATTGAACTTCTGCTAAGATTCCATTCTCTGAAAAACAAATTTAGATAAAATGAGGAACCAGCAGATCTCAGAGCAGTAAAATATCATCTTATCTGTGTTCTTCAGCAGCTGCTACAGTATCACCATATTGCACCATGGACATCAGGAGTCAGATTCTGGTGGGAGAGGAGTTTGACTCTTCACCTGTCTGTTCATGTGTGCTGTCAAACATCACCATGGATCCTGTCTGTTTTCTAATAAACACTATCTAAGGATCGCAAGTTTATCTTAAGTAACTATCTTCACACCTTCAACTTCCTCTTCTTCTTCTTTTCAGTTGGTGAAACACGTCATTGTCACAAATAGACGGGAATGAACAAAGTGTGAACTTGAGCCTTAATATAGTTTGTTTGTTTCAGCGTTAGATCAGTGACTTTGTTGTATGTGTTTGTAGATGGTGGATCTTTGTCAGGCTGCACTGACCTCTGACCTCTGACATCTTTACTGACGGCTACATCTCATTATTGCCGATCATTAATTTGGGGTCTCTGTCAGTCACTGTGGATGAGAGAAAACTACATTTCTAAAGTGTAAAAGTGAAAACTGTCAAAGAGTTTTTGGCTGTTTGGACATCGACAAGAAATTCAGAGAGACTGAAATCTAAAACAGACTAAAAGTCACTATGAGGAAGTGTCATCATCCTAACCACAGGAAGTAGCTGCTGCGTCTCTCTACTAAAGCACTAGTTTAGAAACTCAGACAGTTCTGAGCACGAGAACAAGAGACAGAAGAAGGAGAGACTCAGAGAATCATGATGGTTGAGTTCAAATGGATTTCTTTATTTCTTCCAGCGGTGCTTCAGTTTACAGGTAAGAATACATATATCACATATATAAATGGAAGGCACATTGTAAAAAATAACTTGATCAATATTATTAAAGATTCTTTATTAGCTACATTTGATTTAACTAAGAAAAACAAATCTGTTGTTTCTAATGTGGTGAGTTTAGTGAACTCTTGGACACTAAGGATAAAGAAATAATCGTCACTAACTATGAACATAACAGACATTTTCTCATTTCACTTTATTTTTCATCATTTTCTCAACAGCAGCAGCTGGAAAACTTCCCCTCTCCTTCATTGTCAGAGTTGGAGATGACGTCACTTTGCCTTGTGAAAATGTGATAGACGGTCAGAAAAGATGTGAATATACTACATGGCTCTTCAGTGGTTCAGGGAGCAGATCAGCAGTAGAGCTGGTTAAATTTGGGCAGATTGTTGAAAACGCCAAATCTAAATCAGACAGACTGAGTGTTACAGAGAACTGTTCTCTGGTTATAAAGAAGGTCACAGTCGAGGATGTTGGTCATTACACCTGCAGACTGGCCCGATCAAGACAAGTTTTAGACTCTCTGGTTCTTCTGTCTGTTATTATCAGTGAGTATTTCCATCATAATGTTTTCAGCTCAAACTGTCTTGTTAGAACAATATACTGAAACATTACAATAATTATGATCACAGTGATGAAGTTAACTTTACTCTTGTTGTCTTTCTCTCACAATATCTCCATCTTCACCAGTGACTGAACGTAAGGACGCTGATGAGGTGACATTGTGGTGCTCTGTGTCGACACGTGAACAGTTCTGTGGACACACAGTGAAGTGGCTGTATGAGGGTAAAGATGTGGACAAAGATAACAAAGACATAAAGACATCACAGTCTGTCTGCTACGCCGCTGTGTTTTTCCTGGATTCTCATTTTAGTTACAAATCAAAGTCTAACTTGAAGTGTGAAGTGACAGATGGTTACTCTGGAAAAGTGCAGCTGTTCACCTTCAGCCCTCAGTCCTCAGGTGAGAAAACAGGTGAGAATATGCTGAGCTGTTCAAGATGACTAAAACCACCAAAACATTTGTTTATCTGATGACTTTATAAGATGACATCATTCTTTCTCATTTAGTGACAGCAGATGGTAAACATGAGGGATTTTCTAACTGAACAGTTTCTTGGGTTGTGTTATTTAATTCATGCAGGTGACGCACAAACAACAACAACTGAAAACACAAAATCAGTTACAGCCTTAACAACAACTAATGATGCTTCAACAAAACTACAAGGTAGTAACTCATCTTTCTCTATAGTCTCTCTGTCTTCCTGTCAGCCTCTTTCTCTCCCCATAATAAACCTCATTATTTTACTTTTATTTTATTCATTGTCTAATTTTTTGTTTTGCATGTTTCTACTTTTAGGCATTTTTATGGCAAAACATAAAATAATCAAAGCCTCTTTAATTAAGTCACTTTCTGGAAAGACAAAACTGACCATTCATTGTATAAAACAGAAAATAGGAAGTGATAGAGAAAATTATAATTGATTTACTGATTTTTAATTGTATCTCTCCTCTTCTGAAGTCTGAATGTCAGAGCGACACTCAGCTGTGGGAGGAGATATTTTCTTATTCAGTCAGACGTCTTCACACAACACAAAATAACAAAATAAGATGTTGTCCTCTTTTATAGTCTATCGAGTTTGGTGGTGGTATGTTGCAGTTGCAGCTCTCTTAATAACTATTGTTATTGTTGTTGCTCTCATCAGATGGAAGAAAACTAAAGGTGAGAGCAACCACAGATATTATAAACAAGAAGTTTTGATGAACCTGGATTTTTATTGTTGAAGCTAAAGTCGACTCTCTTTTGTCTCTTCAGGAAAAAAACCCCAGATGGATGAAAACACTGTGAGTTTTACGGCTGAGTAATCAAATGTTTCTACAGTTATGACAGAGCTGAATCAGCTGCTCTCTGACAGAGTCATCCAAATCTAAACAGCCTTCACAGAGCCAGTGTTTGACCACATGGAAGTAGACTCTGTTTGTTTGTTGTTTTCAGGGACGGAGCTTAAACCCTGCAGTGAGTCCAGAAAGCAGTCAGGACACGGTGAGATCTCACACTACACCCAGGACAAAGTTACACTCACTGTTTTTAGATTTGTTGTTCAAAATGTAGCTCTATGAGACACACAGTGACTCTTGAATCTAAGTTCTTTCTGCAAGAGAAGAAGTGGGGAGTCTGATGATGCAGCTGGACGACACCAGAACAGACCAGAACACAATCAAGTTCACATGTTACTGAGCAGCCATTATGTTGTCTTCTCTATGTAGGCTGATCCTGAAGATGGTGTTTCCTACGCCTCCATCAGCTACACCAGGAAGACCAACAGTAAAGGCCGGGTAAGCTGTCTGATTGGTTCTAGTGATGATGGCAGTGAATGAAAACACTTCTCTCATTTAATGTTGTGTAATTTCTGTGTTGTGCTGTTTGTCTCTTTTCCAGGTTCTGGGTAAAGATGGTGATGATGAAGATGATGCAGTGACCTACAGCAGCGTGAAAGCTTCCTCTTCTTCTGCTGGAGCCTCAGCTGATCCCAGCGACCTCTACGCCACCGTCAACAAACCAAACAAATAAGAGACCACAGTGTAGTTACAGCTCATATCATTACAGTTCACTGATAACTGATAAATGTTTTATTATTTGAATTATTTTATGATAATATATGGGACATTTATCTTGATGAACTTGCTGTCAGGCACTTTAATGTGCTAGTGCTGTGTTGTAGTTAAACATGTATTAGTTTTTACTGTTATTTCTGTATCAGCTGTTATTATTTGATATGCAGTCATTTTAACATCTATATCTCTGTTCAGGTTATTTTTTATGTTTCTGTATGGAATTCCAGATACTTCAGGTCAGTGTGAACTTCATACCAGCTCATTTCAGCCATTAGAGAAGGAGGTCTGTCTACATTTGAAGCAACAACTGACATATGAGAGGAAAAAGAAAGGACAGTCACTATGAGGAAGTGACACGTGACTAATTAGAGAAAACAGTTAAAACATTTCTCTTCAAGAAGTAGAAGAAGAAGACAGAAAAGAATGAGAAAGAGGCGCGATGGTTGAGTTCAGATGGATTAAAATGTCTTTATTTCTCATGCTGGTGCTTTAGTTTACATGTTAGGATTGACATTGTTAATTCTACTTTATTACCTAACCTTCATTTAACAAAAACAGCCAAGTCTGTTTGATTTCCAGCAAGGCAGATGTGAACTCCTGCAGACTGAGCCTGAGGCACCTAATCAAACCTTTGTTGTCACATTGATATTAATAGAAACATTTTTGTAAATATATTTCTCTCTCATCAACTCAGCATCAGCAACCAGACAACTTCTCCTTCTCTTCCCTGTTAGAGTTGGAGATGAAGTCACTTTGTCTTGTGAAAATGTGATATACGATCAGGGTAACTGTGACAGTAGGCTACTACATGGCTCTTCAGTCATTCAAGAAACCCAGCATCAGTAGACCAAAGGCCTTTACTACGAAGGGAACCTCAAGGAACCCCATAAGGGAGAACTTTAGTCTTTCCAACCACAGGTTATATAGTACCTATTAATGTATCCATTGGGATACATTTTGGGCAATCTGTGGTTTGTATAAAAAATTCTGTGTATGATTTTGCATTGAATCTACACCAACGACTGCTCCTCAGGAGACCCATCTGTCAAACTCCTGAAGTTTGCTGACGACACAACGGTCATTGGCCTACAGACGGGAGGTTGATCAGCTGGCTCTCTGTTGCGCTCAGAACAACCTGGAGCTTAACATGCTCAAAACTGTGGAGATGATCGTGGACTTCAGGAGGAGCTCCCCCACTCGGCCCCCATCACCATACTCAACATTCCTGTGTCTGCTGTGGAATCCTTCAGGTTTCTGAGATCCACTATATCCCAGGACCTGAAGTGGGAGCCCAACACTGACACCGTTATCAAGGCTCAGGAAGCTCAACCTGCCTAAGGAGCTGCTGATCCACTTTTACACAATTATCATCCAGTCTGTTCTCTGCACCTCCATCACTGTCTGGTTTGGATCTGCCACCAGAAAGTACAGGAGCAGACTACAACAGACAGTCAGGACTGCAGAAAAATTAATCGGTGCCCCTGCCCTCCATTCAGGACATACATTTCCAGAGTCAGGAAACGGGCAGGAAACATCACTGCAGATCCATCTCACCCCGGACACAATCTGTTCCAGGTTATTCTCTCTGGTAGGCGCTACAGAGCACTGTACGCCAAAACCAACAGACTCAGGAACAGTTTCTTCCCACAATCACTCTGATGAACAGCTGATTTCTGTTTCACAGTGTCAGGAACAATTCCTGTGCAATAATTCCTGTTTACTGGCTACCACTTACCATTTATTTATTCATCATTCTCCATTTCAAAGCTGTTCATATTGTCATATTGTATATTATATCCACCTACCTCATGCACGTAACACCGCACGCAATACTTATTCATTCCAGCATTCTTTGCACCCATCACACTGTGTACATGTATGTTTGTATGTGTATGTGCACCTGTATATCACATCCACCTCCGACATGTACATAATAATAACAGTAATGGTAATAATAATTTACTCCTGTATCCTTTGCACTCTGCTCATTGCACTATTGCACTATTGTCTCAATCTGTCTGTTTGTTCATAGTGTGTATATATGTGTTCTCTATACTGTAGCCTGTGCTTGATTTTATTACTGTTTATTGTGTTATTGTATTATTGTATAAGTAAGCGCATAGTGAGCATTGTACAAGAGTCAAATTCCTCGTATGTGTACATACCGGAATACATGGCAAATGAAGCTGATTCTGAATCAGCCCGTGTCGGGCACAGATTGAGGAGTTGGAGGAGTTTGAAGAGCTATGAATATGAGACATATTCCCTCTCTGTTTGGGGTCTGCCATAAAAAGAGTGTCAGTTAATGTTTTTGGAAAAAGCTACAGAAAACAGGGATACTAATTCTGAACAAAGTTTGAAAAAAACAGAAGAGTTCAGAAGGTGGTAACCGATGGCTATAATTGAATTCTCCTAAGTGTATTCACATATTTAGATTTAGATTTATTTTACGTGTCCAAAAAAATATGGAGCCAGAGTGGGGATTAATAAACCGAGAAAAAAAAAATCCTAGATGAAAGTGTAAAATTTACAGGAACAAAAATCGGAAATTTCCTGAAATTAAAGTCACAAAAAAATCACTCTAAATATGTTTTCTTCTAAATACACCCAATCCACGGCAAAGTCTTTAAGGTGCATGATAATATAGTGACTGTGGGCTAAACTCACCTATTTCCTTTTCGCAGACCAACCAATCACAACCTGGAGATGGCGGGACAGTAAAAAAAGGTTAAGGCACAAGCAAACTTGTTGAAATGTTGAACTCTGTGTGCACGGTTATTATTACTGAGAAGTTAGTACTTTGCATAAACATGCATTTTTCTTGCACAATAATTTAATGACTGAAGAAACCCACAAAAATTAAACTGCTGTTTTGGAATTAATATTTGTAATAATGGTAAGCTATAGTATTATCTGAAATTATAATGAATATACAAACATTAGCACTAATCAACCTTAACCACAATGGTGTAGGCTAATATCAGAAAATGGTTTTATTTGTGAAACAGCTGAATCTCAACTAATAAACTATCTGTAGGCAGATGATCCAAATAATGTGTAACCTGTAAATATATTATTATACTAGTAATACCTACTTTTTATTTAAAGTATTATCATTTATACCTTCACTCCTCCAGGTTGTGGATATATTTTGGTTTTCAAATAGTCAGAAATAACAAGGAAATGCATAGCTCATGAGGTGACTTATTGCCTTTTCTGTACGTATACTGATCATACTGTCGCGCGAAGTATAGACAAAAGTGGTCATAGCACATTTTTATTGTTTTTATTGTGGGCCTACAAAACCTCTCAGCCCCAGGGCGAACAGCAGGTTAATGCGGGCCTGGCTGTGGGTGGAGATATTCTCTTATTCAGTCAGTCTCAGTCAGTTGTTTTTGTGGCTGAAGGAGCTCCTGAGCTGCCTCAGCTCAGCATAGACAGGATGAGAGGGGTTGTCCATGATGGTTTTCAGCTTCCCCCTCATCCTCCTCTCAGTCACTGCCTCCACACTGTCCAGTTCCACCCCCACCACTGAGCTGGCCTTCTTCATCTTTCAGATCAATGGGAAAGGCACCTATGATCACGTTCCACATTTTATCGTGTGTCATGTGATGTGGGGAACTGGTCTTGGTCTTGACTCGGTCTCGCCCTTGCTCGCTCTTGGTCTCAACTTGGTCTCAGCCCCTAAAAGTCTTGGTACAGGTCCGCTACGGTGGAGTGAATGATGTCACAAGCGTGCGCCGCCACTTTGTGGTAACATGTCCTGGGTTACATTACTTGGAGTTTGCAAAGACAGAAAGTCCTCCTCCCAATTTCTTACCGCGCTGTTTCTTCCTATCTGCTCAAACTAGTGAGATGCCGGCTAGTTCCACTGAGCAGTCTGGTGTTTTCCCATTCAGCTACGTTTCAGTCAGACATAACATGCTGCACTCCTGATACTTTCACTGGCCGCTGACCAGAACCGAGAGTTCATCTTGTTTGTCAGTGAGCGGACGTTCCCCATGACGACCGAGGGAAGACAGGGCTTGTGTCTTCACCGACTCTCTGTCTTCTTGTTCCTCACCATCACGCCAGCACGACATCCTCACCTTCTTATCTTTAACTTCAACAGGATCTCCTTCGGAAAGTTCAACAGGTCGACCCTGAAAATTTAAGAGCTCCTCACGTGAGCAGAGTTCGGTAGTTTGCTATCTGGTGGTCGAGGAGTCCATTGGCTGTGTAACGTTATCCTGTTTCAGGTTACGTTAACTGTTGTCCATGAATTTAGTACTATTTACAAAAGGAAAAGGCTAGAATGTGCAAATAAATAAAGTGTAATAAGTAAAAGGTTAAATAGAAATCTCTAAAATATAGAAAAGGTTAAACTACGAAAGGGTAGAGGGACCTGCTGTGTCATGCTGCCACTCTCTGCGGTGCTGTAAGTAAGACATTATGTCTGTGGCTTTAGCAGCACTCATAATAATTGTTGTGGCAGTCAACACATGGACAAGAACTAAAGGAGAGAACATTCACAGATGAAAATCAAGAAGTTTTGATAAAGCTGGATTTTCACTGTGGAAACTAAAGTCGACTCTTTCTCTTTTCTTTTCAGGGACAAAAACACAGATGGATGAAAACACAGTGAGTTTATAATGTTTTTACAGTTGGTACTTTACACAGCAAACCAGTGTTTGTGACATCTGTTCTTCATTCTGAAGTGTAGATATAGATAGAAGAAGACAAACAGAAACAGGACTCACTGAGTTGTAATGAAGTGGTCAAGAGGAACATTTTGTTTTTGTATTTGGAGTACCACATAAACACTCCCTCTCTGGTCAGCTGGTAAGAACATGTGACAGTTTGGTACTTTTAACTTATTTCTTAATTTCCTTCTGCGTGTCCTTCGTTACCACAGAAACACTTCCTCTCTCAGTGGCAGAAACATGTAACAGTAGCTGACGGTGCGTTCAGGTGCTGTCAGGTTATTTCTTATCTCCTTGTGTTAAATGTGGGTCAGTGATGTGAAAGTTGTCAGTTAAAGTGTGTCAGAGTGAGGGTTTGTTTGTGTTTCACAGGTGAATAATGATGAAGATGAAGATGATGGTGTGGTGAACTATGAAAACGATGGAGACCCTTCTGCCTCTGTCAGACTCCACTGATCAACAACTTCCATATCAACATCAGCTCATCAGAGAAAAGACTCCACTGCAGTTAAATAACAGCACATTTACACGAGTAGCTGAAGCCTTTAGAGAACAAAGATCTCATAAGATCATTTTGGGTTTTGTTAGTTGATTGTTTTTGTTTTTATTTATCAGTGTGAGAAATGTTTGTGTGTTTTGTGCTCAGATGTTTCTGTTTCAGTCTGACTTTGAACAACAATATTCAAGTCTTGATTTCATCTCATATCAGGAAGCCCACTGTGAGTTTTATAAAATGTCTTTTCCTGCATCAGTTGTGAAAATCTTTATTTTTTGCAGCCAGTTCAGAACACAGCAGCTGGATTTCAACTTCATTTAACAGGAACGAGCATTTAACTCTTGTTAACTTCCTTAAATCGCCTTCCAGCTGGAGAATTCTGACCTGATTTTAAGGTTCACTGTTTGCTTTTGAAGCTACAGCAGCCCGTTGGAAACTTTGTGCAACCAGCAAAAAGCTTTTAACCGCGAACATTTCTACATTGACTTAGGCTAATTGAAGCATCAGCTAAAGCAAAACAGCAACGTGAAACTCAAAAGAAACTCCAGTCGCTACTGCCAGTGATGCTTGGACTAATCGGGAGAGAGTGGTGTTATATGTTTGTTAAATGAATACAAAATAATTATTATAGAGAGGTGGCGATGGAGCAGTGGATTAGACACTTGTCTTTGATTTCCACTGCAACACATCCACAATTAAGTTGTTGTCATGGGTCCTGCTTTACCATCCATGTTATAATAGAGTTTTATTGGGGTGTGGGGGGGGGTCTCAGTATATTTTCCTGCTTTTTTGCAAATCTAATAATTCAGGTTACTTCTTCTATGCTCTGGATGCACATGACCATCTACTCTGACCTGATGTTTATCTGGTCATCATTAGGGGGTAAAACCTGCAGAGCTCTGCTGCTGTTGTTAACCACATCCTCACTGAAACACATCCTCTTCATATCTCTGAACAAAAATACCTGCAAAGATACAATGAAATCACCATCTAAATAAGAAGTTGCAGTTTTGCAAACATTTATCTTAACTAACAATCTTCACACCTTCAGCTTCTTCAACTTCTTCTTTTCAGGTGGTGAAACACGTCATTGTCACAAATACAGCGGACTGAACAAACTGTGAACTTGAGCCTTAATATAGTTTGTTTGTTTCAGCGTTAGTTTGGCTCAGTGCAGAAACATATTCCTTTGTTTCGTGATCAGTGACTTTATCATATGTGTTTGTAGATGGTGGATCTTTGTCAGGCTGCTGTGACCTCTGACCTCTTTACTGATGGCTGCATCTCATATTGTGAAAATTGTAACAGAGTTTTTGTCTGTTTGGACATTGACAAGAAATTCAGAGAGACTGAAATCTAAAACCATAGACAGTATATTACTGAACAAAACCAACCTGCAGATTTGAATGGAGAGCAGTGAAGCCAGTTTTGGTCCCATGAAATACTACAGGGCTACTTCCTGTTGGCACCAGCGTCTACTGCGCATGATCCGCAGCATAACTGTGAAGAAACTGGCAGAAACACAGTAACTCTAGTAGCTGTAGCTGTGTGATTGTCACTGTTTAATCTGCCCACCTACAAGGTTCACCTGAAAAACACCAACGCAGCGTCACTGATGGCTGAATAGTTTCTTTAGATTAACAGAGAGTTTATAATCTAACTGTAATGTTTAGCCCCATGGTGGAAGGAGGAGACATGGAGTTCTTCACCTGGTGCTTCAATTTATTTTTTCACCAGATACGTGGAAAGTGCAGTTGTGCAAGTGAAAAGTGAATTATTGCAAAAATATATCAAAAATTAACAAAAACACAACAAGGAAACTAAGTATAAACTATTCAAATTATTATTACAAACTGATATTAAACAACACAAACAAAAAAACCTATATCAGGCCTTGACTATGGGCTCTAGCACATGTGCCCTTCCAGGCCAAAGCTGTTCTCTCAAGAGGAGCCTCTGCCTCCTTCCTTTATACCAGAAGCCCCTCCTACAAGACAAACCAAAGTTAATTGACAATCAATTAAACACCATTATGTTACCTCAACAGTCCAAAACATTTCTGGCTACATCAATACACAATATATCGACTATGAAATTTTACATGCTAAACAAAACTTCTTTGTTTAAAACAGCAACTTAAGGTACTCCAGTACACCCCTCTGTACTGGCTCACACTTGGACCATTCCAGGTCTTCCCCCCTATAAATGACTCCACACTCCATCACTTCCTGTTTGCCACTTCGGCCCAGATCCCTGCTTGAGGATGAGAACAGGTGAATAAAACATACAAACATTTGGATGACCTTGGGTAAATCCAATGAGCTAAAATAAATGACTTGAAATGAGCTGTGTATGTGTTGTATTTATCTAACCATGATTTCAACTCTTCTGACTAGTACTTAAATGAACTGAAATGAAAGGACATGAAATGACAAGCATGTGTCCATTGATGCTAGCCCATATGCTAAAGGTAATGCTAATGCTAAAAGTCCTATGCTAAAGCTCAGCTAAGGTTAGCTTAGCATGCTAAGACCAATATTACTGCTGGCTTAAGATGATCTTTACTTTTAAAACTTAATGATGAAAAGTATGACAAAAAAGACTTTTATCTAAAGCGACTTACAATTGCTTTATATGTCAGAGGTCACACGCCTCTGGAGCAACCAGGGGTTAAAGTGTCTTGCTCAGGGTAACAAAGGTGGACGTGTCACCGTGGGGGATTGAACCTGGGTCTCTCACACTAAAGGCATGTGTCCACTGCACCATCACCCCCCCCTGAAGTTTTTAAGATTAAAGAAGGATGTTAATTAACTGAAAACTATTGAGGACTCTAAATTACTACAATTTCCATAATCATTATTGATTTACTGATTTATTAGATGACTGATTTATTAAGTAAAAACAAATTTAAAATCTAACAGTATCAACGTGTGTTGCCTTTAACGAGTGTATTACTTATGATAGATGTATTGATTGATGTATTGTAATGTGATCAGCTGTGCTTACTGATTGATTCAGTTTATGATGATTTATTGCTAAGCTCACTTTAAAACTTAGTTTGGACTAAGTAGAGAGGACGTTGCAGGTATGTGGGTGAGATGGGAGCTATTTCTGAATGTCAAAAGGAAGCCATACATGGGGCCATCTGTGAAAAGGCGGGAAGACAGACAGGCATGTATTACAGTTTTTTCTGATTGCTTAAGCCCATTTTTTGTAACTATTGGCTATTTTTACAAAACTCTACACACAAATAAGAAAACCTTTCACCCAATTATCAAAACATTGTAGTTCTCTTGCAAAAGCGAACACAGCTAGATTAACTCTTCACACCTTCGTAAAAATGGTGTTTTCGTATCAAACAGTAAACACAAGCCATCATCTACTAAGCACACAATGTGCCAACTACACACTGATGGTATGAATACAAAACACATCTGGCTTTTGCTTTCTCTGTGTACAGATGTCAATTTGAGGTCATACTTTTGTCATAGTGTCATGTAAACATACAAGGATCCAAACTTCAAGTACTGGTGTTTATTCACTCTCATCAAAACCAAGACAAAGTCAGAACACAAAATAGTAATTTCACAAAAAAAAAAAACCAACAATCAGCCTACATCATGTCGTCTTTCTGGGTCCGGCCACAAAAGTTCGTCCACATCGCATGCGATATCTTCCAGTCCAAGGCACCGGGGAAAATATCTCCTTGAATGGCATATCCAGGCCTGACATGATGCCTGGTCAATATCTCCACATGCCTCCTCCATTGCCTGTAAAAAGGCTACCTGTTGATGAGGATGACGGTCGTACACTTTCCAGCGCCAGGCAGAGAAGAACTCCTCGATGGGATTTAAGAATGGAGAGTATGGAGGGAGGTTGAGTGCCATGAAGATGGGTGGTCTGTAAACCAGTTGCGGACCAAAGCAGCCCTATGGAAACTAACATTGTCCCATATGATGACATATCGGGTCTGCTCTGGTCTCTGAACAGTGAGCATGTCATGTAAGGTGTCCAGGAATGCAATAATGTGTGCAGTGTTGTATGGGCCTATGGTTGCATGATGGTGAACAACACCATTTTGGCTTATAGCTGCACACATGGTTATGTTACCACCGCGTTGTCCTGGGACATTGATGATGGCACGGTGTCCAATAATGTTCCTGCCACGTCTCCTGGTTTTACTGAGGTTAAAACAATGTCCCACGGCATCTGCTTCTAGTTCCATCACTCTCTGTACAAGACAAAACAAATGCAGCACATCAGGCCCATGCACAGCTCTACAGTATGCACTTCCAAATTCAGAACCAGTGACACTATAGCTTACCTGCACATAGTCATATCGCAGTTGCTTTACATGTTCTGTGTTTCTCTCGAAAGGAACTCTGTATATTTGCTTCATTCTTATTCTGTGGCGCGCAAGTACACGACTTAGTGCAGAAATGCTTACACTGTGTATATTTTGAAAGATGGTGTCATTATCAATTATGCGCTGCTGTATTTCGCGCAGTCTTATTGCATTATTGGCAATCACCATGTTCACTATATGGGTCTCTTGCTCTGGAGTGAACATTCTTCCTCTGCCCCCAACATGTGGACGTCTAGCAATTCTGTAAAGTAACAATTTCAGTATTTTTGCATGTATGGTACTGTTGTGTTTCTCATTAGAGTAAGGCAGTGCTACAAAGTACTTACCGATTCTCATTTCGAAATGTCCTAATGATGCTTGCCACAGTGTAGCAGCTCAAATTAGGCTGAACCCGTTGGCCAGCTTCCCTCAGGGTCCACTATTGTAGCTCTGATGTCATCAGTTATTCTATATCTTACTCTTCTTACCCTTCCTCTTTCCCCTCCTCGTCCTCTTCTTGCTCCTCCTTGTCCTCTTCCTCTAACTTCTTCTAACCCTCTCGCTTCTTCAC